CCGAAGATCCATCCAGAAAAAGAAGAAGGAAGCATCAAGTACTCACATTAACTAATAGACACAAGTCAACTGGAAGACAGAGTGTAAAGTGCTCTGGATATTTAGGTCAAATCACCTGTGGCAGACTTAACCCTAACGTGTGGGTAGCTATGGGATGCAAATAATACTAAAAACACACTGGTCACATAGCACTCTACCTCTTCAGGGTTTCCAGTGGCTCCTTTCTGTCTATGACTCCAGTATCTGGGTCCACCGTGGTCATGATGCACCTGTCAGGCAATGACCAAAAATTAGGCAATGGTTAGGAACCAGTGGGCATTCCACACCCCAGAGGTTGAATCTAGTTACAGTCCTTACCTAGGACAAGCCAGTATCTTTTTCATTTCTACATCACCAATTAGGAGCTCATCCCAGGTGTCCTAGGAGAAAGGGAATGGAATATTTGAATCAGGACCCTTAGTCTTTGTTCCGTTCATTCTCTGGCTGGTACTAACTACAAAACCAGCAGAAGAAAAGAGCCAAGAAGATCCGAAGAGCTGTCTCTGAAAAGGACCCGAAGGGAGCCAGCATGTGGCTAAGTCCAGGGCTCAGTCCATTCTAGTCTCATGTTTTTTGCAGTGCTGGCAATGGAACTCAAGGCCTTGTGGATATTATGCAAAGTGCTCTACCACTGAGTTACATCCCCACCCCAGTGTCCACTTCTTGGCTAAATCTTGAAACCATGACTTGGTCAGCACAAGGACAAACGTTCTGTAGCATGCAGTGTGCAATGATCACCATAATTAATTAAAAGACTCAGTTACTGATACAAGATGAGAGATGGATAGCTTGTGAGACAAGTCTTATATCTAAGCTACAATGGAAGCCAAGTTAAAATCTGAGATTCTTTGATACGCGAAGCATCACCCATGGGAAATCAGTCATGATTCCCATACTTAACACCCCACCCCACAGGAGGCAGCCTGGCAGTGGGGCTCACATTCCAAGCCACTAGCTATGCCTTCCCTTCCCACACTTGAACTCTGGGCACCGTTTGCCTCAGACTTCAGTTAATCCTCACGACTCAGAGGCAGCATTGGTATAATCCCCATTTTACCCAAGAAACAGAGGCCTAGAAGGATCACAAAATTTTCTAAGGTCACAACAGGAGAATGGAGAGCAGCTAGGTCTAAAATTATTTCTGATTGTGAAGCAGGACCTTTCACCACCTTATTGGGTATAGCAGTGACTTAAGAAGATAAAAGTTACTTCTGTAAGGTTTGTTTGTGCCGATTTCCCCGTCCTCCCCCGACTCCAGTTTCCTGTCCCTGACAAGATGGATACTTTCCTTCTGGTGTGAGGAGGACATTGCTCTCATGGGAATTTTGCCTCCTAATTTTCTGAAACAGAAGGAAGGCCAGTGTGATAGTCTTTCATCTGTTGCCTGTCAAGTGTATAAAAATAGTCGCTATGCCCGAGTGTGTGCTGGGGGTAGCATGTTCTTAATTCCTGGAAAATTATATATACATATATATAATGCCTAAGTGGGAGGAGGGTATGTAGAGCTAAATGAAGGTCATGGGCCTCTCTTGCTAGTAAGAAAGCTATGGGTTCTTTATCTTTAAGGCACCACTGCCTGTCTCTCCTGAGGCCTCTTGATGTAAAGTTTGAACTTCCCCAGGGAATTCTTTGTCCACATCTGGAGTAGGGTGAGGCAGGAGGCATTGGGGGATGGGCCTCCAAAAATCACCAATAGCATCTGCAATCAGATGCAAAGAACATTCCTTGAAAACTGTTTCCTGATCTCAACCCAGGTGAGGTTTCTGAAGGCCCTGAGTCTAAGGAATTTACCAAGAAATCAGTCTCAAGTCATGAAATGAGGGCACCTTGCCCTGGTCACCTGGTTGCTTCACTTCCTCTCAGGGGGACCTAAGAGAAGACTCAAGTCTCTTTTTGCAGGAGGCAGAGCAGAGCAGGGGGTAGGCATGGCATAATTCCAGTTTCTTGCTGCCATTGAGGAAGAAGCCATGCGCAGGTCCTCTTTCAGAGGCAAACTAATTCCCTTCTTGGGCCTCACAAGGATGATTTAGCAAACACACAGAAAGCACTCCAGTACCAGTGGGTCTTCAAAACTCAGAACTCTCCCACTTGGTATGACAGCAACAGAATGCAGTAGAGATGCCTCGATGGATGCCCTGGCTTTCAAACCATCCTTTGGAAACTGCTTCTGAGTGGAAAAAACTTCATACTCCCAACAACCAGTAGGCAGATGAACTCTCAGCTTTGTAAAAGGACACAGCATGTGACAAATGGAGCCTTTGTATCCCTGCCAAGACTTATAACAAGCACTGTTCAAACAGAGAAACTGCAAGACAACCACAGCAAATTGCAAACCTCCTGCTGGACTGTGACCTCAGATAGAGTTTGACCCAGTAAAAAAGCTGCTGTACAGAGAACTCAAGGTGATCAGGTGCCATAGGCCAAGGCCACCAAAATGTTGGGTGCCTTTTTCCACACTAGGGTGCTGCCGCCACAAGAGTTGGGGACACCTACGGCCATCACTGCAATCCGTGATCTACAAACACCTTCTATCCAATTCCCTTCTTCCAAGTGATGATGAGTCTAACACTTAAAGCCACAGACCTGTGGAAATTCTGCATCGTGACTATGATAAAGGTTTTGTTAGGTGTCTTGGCTCAACAAGATGGGATCCAGGTCATCTGCTTTTGAGCTATTGGTCAATTACAGGAATCTGTTTAGAATAGCAATTTGTCTGGCTTCCTAAGAACTGTCTGCAGCATCTCTAAATGCCAGCTCTAATTACATCTTAAAATAGTAATCACTGCATGTAATAACGTCACTCATCCTAATCTGATCATTGTCCACATTTTGGTATAAAGCATTAATTATTTGCATTAAAAATACTAAGCTAATTACATTTAAATGTAAATATTAATTCAATCTTGGAGGAAATTTTTAAAAATTGAAAGATTGAAAAATGAAATGAATAATAGAGGAACTTAACATTTCTATGATCTTCTAGTAGATACACAACTTGGTGGAATACACTCTCCAGCAAGACTCCAGTTCCCAAACATGAAAAAGGTCAGAGAAGCTTAGTGCGCCACCTGCTGGTTAACAACCTATCTGCAGTCTGACAAAATAGGACATCAGTTTTTGAATGAAGAGATTAAACCATTTTTTGATATGGAAAAAGTAAGCGCAAAGGTCAAATAGAAGGGAAAATACTGTACATCGTGCTCATCCTGAGCACTTTCTGTGAATTTTCATGCATCTTTTAAATAATAAATTAAGACTACATTCGGTTTTATCACAAGCAGTACTCAGAAAGAGGTGAAATAATATTTTTTGAGGGGGGAGGGGCCAGAAAATGGATGCTGTGGAACACACAGAAGAGCACAGATACTCATCTATTTATTTGAGAACTTCACTAGAATCCATATAGGCATTTGCTAACAATCAATTTATTAAACCTAAAATATGCTTACTGCAGGAGATTACCTCTTTCGTCTCTCTACGCACAGGGCTATACACATATCTGACTATACACACACATATGAACATATCCACACACAGAGGGAATAAATAAAGAGAATATATATCTTTATCTACATATCCATCCCTCTAATGCATCAATCTATATATCTATTTATATAGATATATAGATTCCTGAAAGAAAGAGATGAGATTGGAAGCCAAGATGACATCTTAAATACCAACCAGCCAAAAAAGGACAAAGACATTTGAGAGAAAGACAGAAAGAGACAGCACAAGCTTGAGTACCTGCCTTGGCCGTGGCCTCTGGAAGGCCTCTGCTACCACCATCCTCCCCACCCCTCCCTAATTTTAGCCCAGCACTGCTACTTCTCCTTTCCAAGCTCTTGGCTTTCTAACAGCTGTTACAAGCCATTTTTAATTATTTTGGCAAAAAATGAGGGAATAGATTAATAAACAAAACTCTTCTGTTTGGGAAGCCAAAGCAATCTTTTTGATTTGTTACCAATGACCCTACATGAATATAGCCTAGAGACTGGCCAATTATACATGGGGTATATAGATAACAACTACAAGTCAGGCATGAGAAAGAGGGACATGAATCTGTAGTTATTAACACCGAATAAAGCTCAAGATGTTGCTGAGTAGAAAAAGTCATTTTCCAAGCACATGGAGTCATGTGTTGCTTAACAATGAGGACATGTCTGAGAAAGGTGTCATTAGATGATGATGGCATGCAAACATCATAGAGTGTACTCACACAGACCTACACACACCGGGGCTGTATGGCCTGGCAACCTTAGCAGTGCACTTTGAATACATAGAGACCATGATGAGTAAAGCAACACCAGATTAAATGAAGCATAAGAAAGAATGACACGAGCAAGAGATAAGGTAAACACGAGGTGTGTGAGACTGCTGCTGGTATAACATAGCATCCTGTTTACAGTAAGCATTTTCTTAATAAGTTGAAGTACACCTTTTATTGGATACAATACCAATAAAAATTATAGTACAACAGATACATAAACCAGTAGTGTGCCCGCTTATCATTATATGTGTGTGTATGTGTGTGTGTGTATACATAATTGTGTTGCTACACTTTTATATGGCTGGCAGCACAGCAGGTTCATTTACACCAGCATCAGCATGGACATGTGGGTAGTGCCTTGTCCTATAATATTTGTAATGACTACTCTGTCACTACATGGTAAGAACTTTTCAGCTCCGTTATAATCTTATGGGGCCACCGTCATGTATGCATATATGTGATCTGTTGTTGACTCAATGTCAAATCTGTACACAGGTATATCATTTGTAGAAACATCTCTCTAGAAACATCTGGAACTCCTCACTAAGAATTTTTAACTTTAATTGGTTTTTTCTCAAAAACCTTAATTTTTTTAAAAATAAACATTGTAATTCCAATAATGCATTTAAAAATCATTTTAATCTAAGCCATTTCTCAGATTCTTTCCAACACCAAATTTGCAATTCTCCTACACCAACTGATTGTCCAACAATTCAGATGAATTCTGATGCTAATGACCAAAAGCTAGTGCAGATCCCACAGGTTGAGGGCTGTTCCACAACATTGACCCACCATTGCTAATGTCAACTGCAGCCCGCTCTGATTTCTCGCCAACCAGAAATGAATCAGAGGCTCCACAACCTCTTCCTCAGGTTTGACAGCTTGCTAAAATGATTCCCAGAACTCAGCAAAGTACTTTACTGTACCGGTGTATTGTAAGGAATATACCTCAGGAACAGGCAAATGGAAGTGAGCTGTAGGTCAAGGTATGAGGTACACAGAGCTTCCATCCCTCTCCAAGGATAGTTACCCTTCCAGCACCTCCACGTGCTCACCAGCTCAGAGCTTCCAGAACCCCATTTTAGTAGCTTCCTGGAGGTTTCATTTTATAGA